CGCTCTGTAGACCAGGCTGGCCTTGAACTCACAGAGATCCGCCTGCCTCTGCCTCCTGAGTGCTGGGATTAAAGGCGTGCGCCACCACTGCCAGGCCATTTTTGTGATTTTTTATGTTCATTGGTGTTTTGCCTACATGTATATATCTGTGTGAGAATGTCAGAACCCCTGGAACTAGAGTTACAGTTGTGAGTTGCCATTTGGATGCTGGGAATTGAACCCTGATCCTCTAGAAGAGCAGCCAGTGCTCTTAACTGCTAAGCCACCTCTCCAACCCCATAAATGCTACTTTTAAAAACAATCTTTAGACTTCCAGTCTAAAGGCAGGTATGGTGTCATGAGCCTATAATCCCAGCACTCAAGAGGCTAAAACAGGCCTGCTAGGAGTTTTGGACCAGCCTAGGTTATACAATGAGACCAACTCCAAAAGCTATTCCCACTTCTGTAGTACTTGGCTAGCACCACTCTACCTAGTATATCACATTTCTAATGCTAGTAGAGGAAGAATCACAAGTACAGTCACCCCTACCTTCAAAGTAAATCCAAAGCCAGGCTTTAAGACTTTAGCTCACATTATTTTAATCTTTTGTATGCACACAAGTGTGGAGGCCAGAGGTCTTCCTCAATTGCACACCACCTTTTTTGTGGTTTTGGTTTTTCCAGAGTTTGTGTATCCCTCCAGGCTGGCCTCAAACTCAGAGGTCTCCCTGCCTCTGTCCCCCAAGTGCTGGGATTAAAGGGGTGAGCTCCCATTCCTAGCTCACCACCTTTTAAGACAAGAATTCACCATGGAGGCTGGCCTGGAACTCACACATGCACCACCATGCCTACCTCCACCTTATTTTCTTAAGATTTTATGTCTTGTGTGTGAGTGCATAAGCATGTGTGGAGACCAGAAGAGGGCTCTGGATGTCCTTCTCTACTCATCTCCAGCCATCTTTTTCTTTTGAATCACCTTTTGTTTGCAGCTGCATCCATGCCACACAGCACATACAGAGGTCAGAGAACTTGTAGAAGTCATTTTTCTTCTTGTCATGTGAGTCCCTAACTCATGTTGTCAGGTTTAGCAACAGGCAACTTGACCTGAGCCATCCCACAGGTCCACCACCTCGCCTTTACCTGAGCCATCCCACAGGTCCACCACCTCGTCCTTACCTTAGCCATCCCACAGGTCCACCACGTCTTTGAAGCTGGCGTTTTCTTGACTAAGCTAGAAATGAGCAAGCCCCAGAAAACCTGTCTCTGTATCCCTCAGAGACAGAGTTACTGATATACATGGATTGTTTGTTACCTAGGTGTCCTCATGATTGTACAACAGGGACTCTTAACCACTGGAGCCTTCTCTCCAGACCCTTCACTTTTTTCCCTTTGAGACAGATCTAAGTAGTTCTGGAGCTTGCTACCTAGGCCAGGCTGGCCTCAAACTTAGACACCCTCTTGCCTCTGCCTCCCGAGTGCTGGGATTAAAGGCGTGCGATGCACTAAAACACCTGGCCACCTTGCTCTTTGAAATAGCCTCACTGAACCCTGGAGCCTGCCTCAGGATCCTGTCTGTGCCCCTGAGCTGGAACACAGTCAGCTTTTATTTCAAGGCAGGGCTTCTCTGCATAGCACTGGCTATGTAGACTAGGCTAGCCTTGAATTTAAGAGATTTGCCTGCCTCTGCTGGGATTAAAGCATGCACCACTATGACCAGCTTTTTAAATGAGTGCTGGAGATTAAACACACATCTTTTTTTCTTTTCTTTTTTTGGTTTTTCAAGACAGGATTTCTCTGTGTAGCTTTGGAGCCTGTCCTGGAACTCACTCTGTAGCCCAGGCTGGCCTCGAACTCACAGAGATCCACCTGGCTCTGCCTCCAGAGTGCTGGGATTAAAGGTGTGCGCCACCACTGCCCAGCTAAACATGTATCTTCATGCTTGCAAAGCAAGGACTCTTCTGTCCCTTTTTAATGCATGCGAAGTGGTGAAAAAGCTAATGATTTATCAGCTGGAGAGCTGGAAATTTTTGCACTAATTGAAACACTGCTTTCTCTTCTCTCCAAGGTCTTTTCCAGCGCCCCATTTCTAGTGGTCTCTGGCCACAGGCACTCCACCTTCATGACAGGCCTGGTTACCTACCTAGTAAGGGTAGTCAACTTCACTGCCTTCCAGATGTCATCACCTGTTTTCATTAATGTTTCCTGTACACTCACCAGTCAACATGAGGCTGTGGTAGTCAGAGCCAAGGATGTATCTGGTTCAGGTGAGCACTAGGGACTATTTCTAATCTACATGGGGAAGGAATCTATTAGTCACAATGAACCATTTTTCTTTTGTCTAAGTTTTGCCCAGCCTGGATCTTGCTATGTAGACCAGGCTGGCCTGGAACTTACGGCCTCTAGCTCCCTAGTCTACACCCAGTCATCTTTTTTCAGTATTAGGTAGACCAGGATGGCCTTGAACTCCATATGTAGCAAGGTAGAATGCCCTTTAACTTTTCATCTCCCCATCTCATGCACCACCATACCTTCCCAGCACTTGTGAAGGAGAGGCAGGCCATCTCTTGTGTTCCAGGGCAGCCTTGTCTACAGAGAAACGAAGAGGGGAAGGGGGGGGGGGGAGACAGGGACACAGACACAGACACCCTGCCGAACTCAAGTGTTAGGTCACAATATATAGTCAGAACACATGGGCACAGGCAAATGCTCCAAGGAATATTGTGCCCAGATTTTATTTGGACCCTGATCTGGGAAATATTTACATGAACAGCAGTATGTGACCAGAGGAAACTGTGGTGGGTTTTGTTGTTCACGTGAGGGTATATGAGTGCAAACTGAAACAGTCACCTTTGGTGCCATTCCCCTGGAACCATCAACCTGTTCTCACTGGCCTGGAGGGGAGTAGGCTAGGATGCTGGCCAGGCAGCTTGCCTCTGCCTCCCTAGCAGGAGGATCACAAGTAGGTGTACAACTGGACTGTACCAAGACCCACAGAGGCCTGTGTGTATACACAACTCAGGTCTTAGCTGGGTGGTGGTAGCACACGCCTTGAAGCAGAGGCAGGCAGAGAAACCCTGTTCCTCATGCTTGACCGAACACCTCAGCCATCCTCCCACCTCACAGTACCTTCAACAGCCCAGGACAGAAATAGCATGCAGGAGTAAGATTATGCTAAGAGGGAACTGTGGGCCTCTGAAACAATGTAAGAACCAAATATGCTTACAAACAAGAAGCCAGGCATGGTGGCATTTTCTTTTAATGCCAGTACTCAGGAAAGAGGCAAGCAGCCAAGCGCAAGCTCTGGCTAAAGGTCTAATTCAGGTGGTACATGCATAGTGTGCGTGAAGCCGAGTTCAACGCCTAGCACCCCACAGAACTGGAGATGCTGCTGCTGCTTCTTCGCTACGATTAAAGCCACCATCTCCTCTGGATGTTATTAATGTAACTATCTCGTCCCATTATGTCAATGCAGATCACTGTGAAGATCCAGGTGTCTTCAGGAATCTTGTTGGTTCTTACCAGATCCTCCTGTTTACCCTCTTCGCTGTGCTGGCATCAACTGCTTTCATCTTCCTAGGTACGGAGTCTATATGGTAGACTTTTGACTCTCACAAACCAAGGATGAAACATAGTTGCTTATCACAACTAACTCATGAAACATAGTTGACAATGAGTGAGCCTAGAAGATTAAAGATCAACTTGCCAGGCATGGTGGCCCACACCTTTAATCTCAGCACTGGGGAGACAGGCAGGCAGCCTGGTCTGTGAAGCAAGTACCAGGACAGCCAGGGTTGTGTTTCATAGAGAAACCAGGTCTCAAAAAACCAAACCAAGAGAGATCACTACTGCCTACACATGTACTTCTAGCCAAAAGTGGAAAGAAAAATATCTCTAAGATGTGTATGCCTGCACCTCGCCATTACAGTCAACTGGAGAGAGGCGATTCCAGGACCCACCACAATTATCAAAACTTAAAGCACTCGAGCATTCTCACTTCTAGACATCTGCCCATATAGCGTAAATCATTTCTAGGTTACTTCTAATACCTACAGCACATGCTACCAATACGCTATACTTGTGTTGTACTGGTTAGGGAGGTGTTTTTGGAGAAAGACTAACTGGAAACATGACTTGTATACTAATACTTAAACTCACTTTATTTCTTACAATTACTTGCTTCGGTTAGGAGGGGAGCACAAACATGCCCTGACTCAAGTGTAGAAGTCAGTCAGCAGTGGAGGCTCTGGGGACTTAAGCTTGTCAAGTGTCTCTGCTGGCTCACTCAGCTCGCCGGCCCTTAAGTCTCACTTTTGAATGGACTTTAATCTTCAAGGCCTTCCTGCAATCAAAATCACACAAACCTTTTTTGTGGCGTTTCCTTTTTCCAGCATACAATGCCTTCCTCAACAAGATACAGACTATTCCAGTTGTTTATGTACCAACTATAGGAACACCTCAGCCAGGTAAAGAACCACTGCCCTCATCTCTCTAAGTTCAGACATATGTGCTTCACTTACTTGCCTTCATTTTCTCCCTTTTCTTCCAGCCTCTTACACGGCCACGTGTCCCCCTCACTTCCTGAGCCCACAGCCACCCCTAGTGCAGAGTCGGCTGCAACACTGGCTGTGGAGTATAAAGCACTAATATGGTACCCCTTCACTGTAGAGGAGTGGAGGAGATACCTCGTCCTGCAGAAGCCTCCATAACTTAAAAGTTTATCTATGGAATGTAAATAAAGGATCTTCAGTGGTTTATTCAGTCTTACGTTGTAAAGGTTAAGTTTCTGTTCCTAGCACCATAAAAATTGAGATGGTGGTGCACACCTACAACGCCATCACTTGGGAGGTAATCCCTGCTACATGGACTAAGTATGTCTAACAACACCCAACACACCCAAGAACAGTAATCCTGGCTGCTCTGAACTTGCCTGCTTCTGCTTCTTCCAAGTGCTGGGATTAAAGTCGTGTGTACCACCACTCCCTGAATGATAACAGCCCCACACCTGTGTATGACACAACGCTTCCTGTTAAGAACTAGTGTTTCCCTAAAATAGTGAATACCAGAAAGACATTAGAATACAAAGCCCAATTAATTATACAGTATCACCAGCTTTAAACCACAGTCTAAGATTTGCCCAATGAACCTAGATACAAATGCCCAAAATGAACTCTTAGGTATTTGGCCACTTACTTGACCCAAAAGGACCCCTCTTCTGGTTGCCCTGAGATACTTGAGGATCCTACCAGTTAAACAAGACAAACACTATATATCCAAAATGTGTTTATTGGGATGGTTCCCACTCATCTTGAATCAGGTGCTTTTCAGTGCTGCTTCCTCCTGAAGGAGCATCCTGGAAGAAAAAGGTCCAAAGTATTGCTTAATCAGCCTGCACAGCCTGCCACTGACCCTACTCCATCTGCAGAATGCCAAACCTGTTCTCAATCCCATTAGCTTCTTCCCAATTATACGCGACCCTTCCACCAAACCAGCCCACCCCAGCTTTAAGCAACAGTATCTAACAAGAATACAGCTTGCTTTACTAGCCTGGAGGTTTGCATTCTACACCATCTGTCACCACAGGATCCAAAGAAAGGCCAAAAGCCCAACATCAAGACCACTCACCTTCTGTCAGCCTTGCTTTTCCGCCTGTGGGCTGACAGAGGACAGTGGAGCAGCCAACACACAAGACTACCGTTTGTGCATGGCTAAAGACCGTGGTGATCTTATAGCATCCTGAAAAAGACATCAACAAAATGTTAACTTCTTTCATTTTCCTCCAAGTTACCATCCCCTTGCCGCTTCCCAACAAGAACTGTACCATCCCTATCACTAATTCAAACAATCATCCTAGGACTTAGTTCCGTGTCTTACTTTTGAATTCTGAGAAAATATCAAGTTACAAGTACTAATCTTTCCCCGACTCCGGCAAACCACCTCCTCACCTGGGCATTTCACGTCCATAAAGTAGGAATTGGGGCTCTGCACCAGGCGCTTTTTCTTGTGTTTCCTCTTTTCCTCTTCTGGAGAGGGATGAAGGAGATCCTTTGCGAGCTACGAGGGGCAGAAATGCAGAGATTTAGAAGCTAACGGTGGGAGGGGATGACGGAGAACAGCCCCCACTGTCACACACCGAAGGGAACTCGCCCCTCGCCGCCCCTGGTTTCTGCGTAGCTGGGCCGCCATCTTATCTCCTCTCGGCTCCCATCTACGCGGGCGGCCGCTGGGCCGCCGCGGTCCTGGAATTACGGTCCCAAGATAAGCGGGGCGTAAATGTGGACCCTCTACGGTCTGCAATTAGCGCGAGAGGAGAGTGCAGACCCAAGAGCGAGCTCTCTGCCGAAACCTGGACCAAGGAACTCACAGGCATGTTCTCGTAGGGAGGTCGTCACCGCCGGAAAGGAGCGAAAGCGGAAATCCTGTTCCTTATATCCGGTGTGGCACAGGAAGTGACGAGCGCGTGTTATTCCGCCATCTTGGGAAGGTCTTGCTTGCCGTTCGAATGCGCCGTGGGCTGCCATTTTGAGAAGGTCCGTAAAGGCGCCTCGTGTCACGGGTGCACAACCGTGGTGAGAGAGTTGGCTTCTGTTTTGAGTTCAGAGTTTTGCCGCTGTCAAAAGGAAAATAGTTTAAAGTCTTCCTGCTATGCTTTGACAGCTGGAGTATAATGGGGACAGCAGCGGTGAACACCGGCGAGGAGCTTTCTTTATCCAGGGCTTTTCGTTTACTGATCATCTTTACGATTTTGCAATTGGCTTAATTTACCCTGGTTAACAAGCAATTCTAGATATAATACATTTTAAATAAGATATTTTCTTGGAGCTGGGGATGTACTACGTTAGTAGACGGCTTCCCTGGCACGCACAAAGCCCTGGATTTAATCCCCAGGTTTTTGTAAACCCGCAGGGGCAGGGCAGGGCGGGGCGGGGCGTAGCGGCGGTGTCAGTGGCTCAAGGCTGTAATCGCAGAACTTCGAAGACGAGAGGATAAGAAATTCAAAATCATTCTGGGATCTATAGCAAATTTGAGGTCAAGTGTGGACTACAGGAGACCCTGTCTGGAGGGAGGGGGGAGGGGAGTCCGGTTCATATTTGCTCCAACAACCCTATTGTTTACCATTATTATTTTGTTAGTGCTAAGGATAGAACCTCATTTTGCATTTTTCCAGTCCTTCCCGTTGAAGAAGAATAAAATCAAATATTCATATAGATCTTGACGCGTGCGTTGTTTTTTAACATGCTAATTAAAGGCCACACGTGATTGGTCACGCCTTTTATCACTGCACTCTGGGAGGCAGAATCTGGAGGGCACTGTGAGTGAGTTCCAGGACAGCCAGAACTACATAGAGATTATGTCTCCAAAAACCAAATCAAAATAAAACAAGTATGCTAATTAACTCTGAAGCTACTGTTACTATTACCACTTTGTACAGATTCGTGTGTTGCTTAGAGAAGTTTAATTGTCCAAGCCAGACATGGTAGCACCTTTAAAACCAGCACTGGGGAGGCAAAGAGGGGTGGACTGTGAATTCTGGTGTCTCAAAATAAATAAATAAATTGCCCAAGCTTAGGCCAGGTGGTGGTGGCACAAACCTTTAATCCCAGCACTCAGGAACCAGAGGCAGGCAGACCTCTGAGTTCGAGGCCAGCCTGGTCTACAGAGCTAGTTGTAGGACAGCCAGGGATACATAAAGAAACCCTGTCTTAGCCCGGTGGTGGTGGTGGCCGCGGCAGCGGCGGCGGCGCCGGAGGCGGCCTGGCCCACATAACAAGTTCCAGGCCGGCCAGGGATACATAGAGAGAGCCTATCTCAAATAAATAAGAATAAAGGCCGGGCGGTGGTGACGCACGCCTTTAATCCCAGCACTTGGGAGGCAGAGCCAGGTGGATCTCTGTGAGTTCAAGGCCAGTCTGGTCTACAGCTCGAGATCCAGGACAGGCACCAAAACTACACAGAGAAACCCTGTCTCAAAAAAACCAAAAAAAGAAAAAAGAAACCCTGTCTTGAAAAAAAAAAAAAAAAGAATTGTCCAAACGTGTCTTTCTTCATATGTTTATGTACTGGTTGAGCAGAATGATTTTGGGTTTTGGCATATTTGCAATATATATCGAAGATATCTTGGGAAATAGGTTCTAGGTCTAAAAATGAAATTTATTCCTTTCTTATACACCTAATACTGAAAATAATTCCCTACAATATTTGTATGTATTTGCAATTTGTGAACTATCGTGTGAGCAGAAGTAGGATTTTTTTTTTTTCTGAGACAGGGTTTCTCTGTGTAGCCCTGGCTGTCCTGAAACTCACTCCATAGAACAGGTGGGCTTTGAACTTACAGAGTTGAGTTCTGCCTGCGTCTGCTGGGATTGAAAGGCATTTGCCACTACTAATACACTTTTTTGTTTGTTTTTAAAACAGTATCTCCACCAGGTGGTGGTGGCCACACATTTAATCCCAGCACTAGGGAGGCAAAGGTGAGCAATCTCTGAGTTTGAGGCCAGCTTGGTCTACAGAGAAAGTTACAGGACAGTCAGAGCTACACAGAGAAAACCTGTCTTGAAAAACAAACGGAAAAAAAAAAAAGTGTCTCTCATCCCAGGCTGACCTCCCAATTTTCCTGCCTCCATCCTGAAAGTGCTCAGGTTGCAAACAGGTTGTGATATGTAGTGTGTGTGCTCTGGGGAGGGTGCAGTCTTAGGAATCTAAACCAGGGCTTTGTCCTTTGTAGGCAACACTCTAAGCCAGTGGTTCTCAACATTCCTAATGTTTCAACCCTTGAATACAGTTCCTCATGTTGTGGTGACCCCCAGCCATGAAATTATTTCATTGCTACGTCATGATTGTAATTTTGCTACTGTTATGAATTGGTTGTGAGCCTAGCCTTTAACAGCTGAGCCATCTCTCCAGCCCCTGTTATGAATTGTAATGTAAATATCTGTGTTTTCCAATGGTCTAAGGCAACCCCTGTGAAAGGGTCATTCCACTCCCCAGTGGGCTTGTGACCCACAGGTTGAGAACCTCTGTTCTACACTGAGCTCCATCATTAGCCCGTAGTATTCTGTTTTGCATTTGTAATATATTTCTTCAGCCAAGAATCCTTCTCTACTAGATGTTTGCACATTGTCCTTCAGATTTCAGCCTAAATGTCATTCCCTCCAAAATTACTCTGTTCTGGGAATACGCTGAAATCAGTTCTCACTGATTCCCAAGACTAGGTTTTTGCCGAACTCATACTCAGTGATACTACTTCAGTATCAGCCATGATGAGACTGCACATCACGGAGACTGACAAGAACTACAAGCACATGGCTTTCCTTTGGAGAATTGGTTGTTCAACCTTGTCAACACACTCCCAGTGGGAATTCAGGGACCTTTCGTCATCCTTTTCCATCAAAATTCACAAAGCCATTTGGTCATATTTCTTCCTCCATTAAATTAGCAAGCAGACTGTAAAGATTCTTTTTTTTTTTTGTTACATTAAAAAATTTATGTGGGGGGCTGGAGAGATGGCTCAGAGGTTAAGAGCACCGACTGCTCTTCCAGAGGTCATGAGTTCAATTCCCAGCAACCACATGGTGGCTCACAACCATCTGTAATGAGATCTGGTGCCCTCTTCTGTATACATAATAAATAAATAAATCTTTAAAAAAAATTATGTGTATATGCCCATGTGGGACCCATTCGTGCAGCTGTTGGAAGGGGCCAGGAGCATCTGATTTCCCTGGAGTTGAGTTCCAGCTGGTTGTAAATTCCCAACAAGGGTGCTGGGAGCCAAACTCAGGTCCTGTGCAGGAGCAATCTCAGCTCTCAACTGCTGAGCCCTCTCTCCAGCCCCAACAAGTAGACGCTCCAAACCTTTGCTCAGGTCCAGGAGGAGGATGCTTTGCTCGTCACCTGTCCTTCCTGCTCATTCTCTGGGCAGCAGTGCTTCAGACGCCAGGAATGTAGCTTAGATGGTAGAAGTCCTCCCTAGCATGTGTGAGGCCATGGGTTAGAGCCCCAGTATTGAACAAAAATAAGAAAATAAAAAAATGAATAAGATAAACTAAGTCCAGAAAGAGCCCAGCACAACTGAAGGGGTAAAAGCCATCCTTGCTGAAGCTTGGAGAGCTAAGGAGAGGATGTGATGAGATGAAGTCGCAGTGAAATATACCAGCTAAAGTACCAGGGAAGTGAGCAAAAAGAACACATTGCTTGGAATTAAAAGCCCAGACATAAGAGAAAAATAGAATTCGTGAGCTTTATCAGAACCATCCATGAAAACTAAAGAGTGATTTATTTACTTATTTGTTTTTAACTTTTTATTACATTTTAATTTGTGTGTGTGAGAGAGAGAGAGAAAGAGAGAGCACTAAGAAGATAACTTTCAGAGTGAGTTCACTCCTCCACCATGCAAGTCCTGAGTATTGAACTTAGGTCATTAGGCTTGGTGGCAAGCCTCCTTATCCCACTCACTGAGTCATATTCCCAGCTTCTCACTCTCACTCTAACTCCCTCTCCCTTTCTCTCCCTCCCTAGCTCTCTCATTTTTGGGGGTGGGGTGGGGTAGGCATTGAGACAGGATCTTAATACAGAGCCCTGACTATCCTGAAACTCACTATGTAGATAGACCAGGCTGACCCCACACTCACAGATGGCCACCAGTCTCTGCCTCCTGAGTGCTGGAATCAAAGACGCCTAGCACCAGCTTCTCTTTTTAAAATCTATGTTCATATCTGTCCATAATACATTCTGGTTACACTACACCACCTTCTCTCCAGAAAGCTGTCCTCACAGCCAGCTCCCGTCCAGCTGTCATGTCTTGGTCTTGTTTTGTGATCAAGTTTCACCAAGGCTGCCACCAGGGGCATGATTTGAGTCCACTGGGCTCAGGTAACTCATCAGTGGCTGCACCACTAAAGACAATGATACTCTCTCTCCCCAGGAGCCTTCAGCTGCCAATATCTGTCTGTCAAGGGGCTGGCCGTTCTCTCTGGGCTTACCTGACCTCCATCTATGACTGGATGTTGACAGGTCCAATGCTGTTACTTATTCTTGTTCTTTTTTTAAAAAGATTTATTTATTGCCGGGCGGTGGTGGCGCACGCCTTTAATCCCAGCACTCGGGAGGCAGAGGCAGGCGGATCTCTGTGAGTTCGAGGCCAGCCTGGTCTACCAAGTGAG